TGCGGTTACGGTTTGTACGAGGTTCTCGTAGTCAGCGTCGATGTCATCGATCACTTCAAACGACTCTTCTTTTGCAAGCCTCGTGACCGCATCTTCGTCCAGCACAGTTGGGCACAGCTGCCTTGTGCCGCAATCGAGGTAAAAACGCCCCCGCAGTGAACGATGATCGCTCCCTGTGTTGGAAGAAGGGACAACCGCAACATCGGTCATGATTCTCCGATTGCACAAGATGTGGTCGACTTCGTGACAGTGTCGTCCATTCGGCAGATATGAGTCCATCTTTTCCGTGGTACCTTGAGGAACTGACTATTGCCATGGTAGAGATGGTGCAGTTCACAAAAACTAGCTAATCTCTCCCCAGTCTCGTTGCGCTTTTCTGCCGAGTGTGGCCCGATGGAGACCTCGCCGTGCTTTCGTGATCCAACCCGGGCGTTGAAGTCCCCATCACAACGACGTAACCATGTTGCCTACGCACGAGCTCCTCGAGCTGTTCGTAGAAGTTGTATTGTTGCTCTTCATCGCTGTCAGCTGTTGGCGCGTAAGCCTGTATGATGGTGACTTGCGAATTTCTCGAAAGGTACGCGGTTACCACGGCGAGTCGGTGCTCATGGAACGTTACGCTCTTTACGTGCTTGGAGAAGTTCGGAGACACAAGAAAACCAACACCCCCTGACGTTGAATTCTTTTTTTCGGGCTCCTAAAACACTGAATCTCTGTCGGTCCAGGTGCATGAGAGAGGTCCCTTCCGCTTCGTCTCGATCAAGCCGATTACATGGTACTTCATCCGTCCAGCTTCATCGGTGAGTGCCGAAAGCTGAGCGGACGAGCTGATGCTTCGACAGTTATATGTGCAAGCTATCAGCTGGCTCACTCTTGTCCGTTTCCTTTGGTAGCCTTGGCCCTGAGATTTCTTCGCCTTTGGCTGTTTGCTGATCCAGCGCTACCTGACTGGGCAGGGACAGTCAGGTAGCGCTGGTATGCTGGAGAAATTGCTGGAAATTCTTCGCTTTAACCAAAAGTGGGATGAACCATCCACACGGATTGTACACGGACGCAACTTGTTGAGCAATCGTGCGTTTGCTAACGACCTCTTCACGTTGTACATTTACGCACAACGAAAATCCGTCTGTGATTGTGTTCCGAGGTATTCCAAGTACCTTGGGTGCTTGGGTGCAGTGTTTGAAGATCGATCAATAGTGATATAGCTCCCATGATGGCGAGATCGTTGCTTGGGAATGCTCGTAATAAGAAAGAGAGTTCTAATATTTTGTATTTACTATTATATCAGTACAAAAGGAGAGAGAAAATCAGAGTAAGAAGGTTGAAGAGATGATTAGAGAATCCATTATACATGATTCGCTTCGCTTCCAACTCAGACGAATCATGTTGACTCGTAAGTTCATTTGAAGTCATTGAAAACTGACTTCAAACATGTGTATTTAGCCATTACTTCCGCTACTGTATCCGCACTGATGATTAGATTATCGACACGGAGTTTGGATGCGATTTTTGTTGCGAGCTCTTTATCCTTCACGTGGTTGTCCAAGTGGAAATGGATCATTGCTCTAAAGAGAAATGGTGGGCCATTAATACTAAAAGTTACCACCCTGAATCTATAAACGACTAAATTGTCTTCCATCAACGGCTTTTTTGCGCTCTTGATCCATAAGCATCTAGTAAAGTCTCTGTCTTCTTCATGGAGGTGCACTTGAAAGAAGATTTTTCAACGTCTGATAATAGGACGAAATTTCTAATACGAAAGCCTACGCTACGAAAGCATGTCATATGGTCTATGGAGTATGGTAGGCTCTTGATGCATCACGTCATCAAGTGGCTGCTTTCATACTTTGACGTGAGTGCAAGCACGCAGGTGGAAATGCAGGTACAATCTTGCGTTGCGTGCGGCGTGCGAACGGCTATGCGACGGCGGCGTTATCCAACTGTGTGACAGCAGTGGGTACCCCAAATCGAGGTACTGCTGCCACACAGTTGGATAGCGGTGCCGTCGCATAGCCGCTCGCACGTCGCACGCAAGATGGTACCTTCGTTTCCACCTGCGTGTCGGCACGCACTTCGAAGTATGGAAGCAGCCAGTGACAGACAGCTCCTGTAGTGAGGCGATGCATCAAAATCAACTCTGGATTTGGCAGTATCTATCTGTGGAGTGGTAACGGGTTGATAAGGAAAATAGTGTTCCGGTTTCCCAATGGTATCTCCCGCTTCATCTACTTCCTTCAAGGTTCCTTTGCTCAACTGATCACGAGATACTTCGTGGTACTGCCTAAAAACGTCGGATTTCCCTTCAGACGATAAAATGCGCTGCTAGACGACGTAATACTAGGGCTCTGTTATGTGGTAGATGGTCATGTGGCTCTTCAAATGGAGGCCCAACAACATAGCCTATATTACTTTCCGGTAGTGGTCTTGAATTTTTCCAGTACATGCCCATTAATGCGACTTCTTTCTTATTTTTCCAGGCCGCTGTACTCCTGCTCTATTGCTTGAGCCTGCATAATCCAAGGACTTTCTCAATTTTGATTCTGTTCAATGCGCAGTAGAATGTATTATAGATGTCGCTCATTATTCTTACTGTGGAGGCTCTCACGGAGACTATGTGCCCTAATCACGTGGGTACAAGTATGAGCCCTGATGGCATTGTGAGGTGGGGTGCTCCAAACTGTATAAACTTCCAGAGCTGGTCGCATCCAATTAATATCCGGGGGGAGGGAGAGGGGGGGGGGGGGGGGGAATGAAGAAATCCATCGTGGGGAATGCTCAACTTTATATGCTTTTTTTATATGAACAGCAGATCTTATTCTCGAAGTTTCCTAGGAGAAGTTTCATGTCAGGTTACAATGCGTGAAGAACCGCAATTCATGCTGTTCTCCCTCAGAGTCCCATATCTTCAAGTATGTGTCGATGCACTGAACCTCCATTGCGGTCATTACGCCGAACGTCCTAAGCTTCATGGTAACTACGCCATGACTTGCCAGTTGGAGTCCATCGGCTTATTTGGCATCAATAATCTACAAATCCAGCATCCAACACAAATCGGACCTGAAGTGTAACGAGTTTTTGTGTTCCTGGATTAAAGGTGCGGGGTTTCATTCAAAAGAAATATCTCGTTAAGACTTCTTTTTCTAGATGCATCTTCAACCCTCATAACTGTGAAGTCAAAGGTTTATTGGTTTTCTAATTGCGTGTTACTTCCTTCACAGGGCGCGAATTTTTGCCGAACTTGCGCTGGCTTCGCTTTGAATTCCTTTTTTCGGTCCGTATTCGACACCGGTGCGGAGGAGGTAGGAACGTTAGATTTGAAACATGTCGAACTGTGATGTTTCCCCACACTGTGCGCATCCTTTGCTTTTGCATTAGGCAAATTTATGCGTTTTTGACCCACAACAAATGCGAAGATCGGTCTCGAACTGCTCTGAGTGTACATTCAAGGAAGCCATTTTGACGCAGTCTGTTGGCCAGTGCTCCCTACTATGGCAATTGATGCACAACGGACTTCAAATTTTTTCTCGCTTAGTTGCTGTTTTGCTGCCTCTTGTTTTAGCAGCTCCGTATTCCCAATTTTTTTGGCATCTGCCTTTCAACCTCCTAATTTATAGCCGAGTTCGAGAGTGGTCATGAGTTTGCTCGGTGTCCAACTCTCACTTGAAGCTAGTGACACCTTTTCTTTGAGGGCGTTTCTTTGAATAGTTTCTGTGAATTTCGATAGAATCTTCGATAAAAGCCACGGACCATCAAGGGATTCACCTTTGTTCAAAAGCTGAGCTGTGATAACAAACAGCTGGTCGTGAAGTTTGCGCTGATCCCTCAATTGTGTGCTCTTGGAGCTCCAATGTTCCAATTGACGATGTAGGCTCGTAATTAATAGGTTCTGAGAAAACCTTCAAGAAAATTCAGTTAGTTTCTTCAGTACAAAATAACTACAGCAGTAAACCCTCATGGGTGATCTGAATAGTGGTCTTTCTTACAAGGGAAGGATCCCAAGTCGAAGTGGCCATTTGAAATGAGACCAATACTGCTAGACGTATTTTTTGATGCTGATTTCAAATCTGCATTCAAAATCTGCCAAACGATTATCTTAACGAAGTTATGGAGGTGGTCTCCGGAGAGCGCTCAACAGGAGCAAGCACAAAAGCCAGGGTTGCCGGCAGCACAGCAGTGGCGGCTTGGAGTGGAGGTAAGCGTGACGCTTCATAGGCAGAGGACCAAGGATCGAGTTTGATGAGC